TCCTCATCTGCAGTGTGAACAAATTCAAATTGTGAGCAATGGGAAGGTCAAACAAAATCACAAATGCATGCATAGATACTAATTATAATTCCAGTATCTCCTCCTCTGTATCAGAATAATGTCTGAAATATCTTACTTACTAACTACATCCACTTACTTGTTTGAAATGAAATAGGAAATAACATGAAATGAAACTAACCGGAAGACTGATCAGACAGCTCTGAGTCCGAATCCGGCTGAACTTCTAGGTCTTCTCCATCCGAGTCACAAGGGTCGACTTCCCTCAGGATCATTTCCAAGGCCTGCTGAGTGGTGAGTCTTCTCTGCATTTTCTTTCCTTGGAGAGGAGGTCCGTACACCACAGAATTCTTCAGGGCAATGAAGGATTAGGCTAAGTGCAGTGAGATTGTATCATATATATAGGGCTTGGCTTCCTGATCAATGGTCCACTACCAAAAGGAAGCCAAGCCCTGTCACCCTTTACAACAAAACAAAATGTTGAAATGTACTCACTCACTTTTTATTATTATTTGTAAATATGTGTACAAATGGTTGGTTTTTTGTACTGTTTTTATCAATAAATCTCAGCAACAAAGGACATACACCCATGTGTGTTGATTTCTCCCTAAGATGGCAAACTGAAACACTCCAAGTTGGTGACTTTTGGAGATTTATTTCCCTGGATGATTGAGAATGCATCAAGATGAAACACAAAAGGAAGTGCACAGCTTTTAGCAGCTCCCCCACGCCCTCAATCACACACCCCCACTCCCCTCCCTCCAGAATTCCCAGGTAACAACCTAATATACATATGAATGACTAGCCAATTTAGCTTCCACTTGGCTGAAGCTAAAGCTTAGCTAAAAGCCTACCAGCCATTTGGCTGCTCTCCGGGTTTTATAGGTAGAAAAGTCAAATGGCTGCTCTCTGGGAGTTTAAGTGATTTATTCCAGTAGAGTGTTTTCCTACGCAAGAGGTTGTATTTATTGGTCTTCAGTTTTATCATCACTCATAGCTCTTTTAGTTGTTTTTTTCTTTCATTCATTTCACAGGTAAAATAATTCTTTTCTTCTACTATGTGTTAACATCATAGGCTGTAAAAACCATTTTTAGAAACAGTTATAAATCAGCGTAAGTGCATTGAGGTGCATAATTAATAAAGTAATCAAAAATGACTAAAATGTGGTTTTACGACTGGAAGCAAACACCCTCATGTAATCACCACAGGTGTACTCCAGCGCTGACCTTTACTGCCTGCGTCTTTAATAGATGTTGTTTTTAAAAGCTGTGTGGCACTGCCACGTTTGAAAAAGCTTCAGTGTATTTTATGTTATGAGCAAGCACAAAGTAGTGATTCGGTAAAGAATTTTAAATGTCCTCTTGGTGAGTGTTTGTTCTGTACGATGCACTGCTATGGGCTTTTAAAGCCTGCTTCATGGAACTAGTTTTTACAAACGATGAGGGGATTGCTGAATTTTTAACAAGACTAGATGGCTCTCAGCTGCACTGCCCACTGCTTCACAGAGGAAAATTGCATCAGCATCAGCATAAACAGCTACTGTAATCTAGCCTGTTTATCCCCCCTCACTACATATTTCATCTGTTGACATTAGATGTCATCTGTATGGCCCTCAGAGGCATTGTGGATGTGTGTTTACAGCTGATGCTGGAGTGTTAATTACAAAAACGAAGGGGGAAAAAGAAGCCACAAACAATGTAAATTGGCTTATATACCTATATATTTATATACTTGAGAAGTCCTTAAAAGAACAGTGAGATTCTAGAACTGGTGTCCTGTTCGCGTCTTTCTGTTTTATTTAAGTCATTAAATTCAAGATGCTGTGATGCATAAATAAGATCAGACCTTTTTTGGTTTATTTTCATGCCTCAGTCTATGTATGTACACACCTGGGACATGAAATTTTAATGACTCTTCTGGATAACATTTAGTAAAATGATTGTTTGGTACACATTTGATTTACCATTGAATTCTGTTATTGAGTATTTACAGTGAGATGGGAGTCACACGGCTCTAATAGTGTGGTGAGCAGGGGTGGGCTTTCGTTTCAAAAACAGCATAGATTCACTTATACATGGAAGACATTATTCATTCTATGTCTTGGTAGTTTGAATATAAATAGTAAGAAATATAAAGTAACTGAGGTATAAAAATAATGTGAGGTGACTGAGTCAGATATCCACATTCATATATTTCTTTACAAAATGCTATATTATATTCAGTGCTATTGTAAAATGTCTTTTTGTGTGTGTGTGTGTGGGAGGGGGGTTAAGACAACATGGCAAAATTGTATTCATAGTTAGAATCCATTATTCACAGCTGAACTGTTTTGTCCAGAAACATTGCCTGTGTTAGCTCCCTTAATCCAGTTCAGTTTGTTTTAGGGGTGTAAATGTTATACCAGCTTATACCTAGTAAGCGTGAAAAACCCTGAAAATTGCTAAAATGAATCCAAACAAAGCACAAAGACTTCTGGCAGACTGCGGTAGCACTATTCCATCAATTATGCTGATCTTAGTTATCACACATTTCAAGTATGATTCCAGATTTGTGGAAAAAGTGATTTGCAGATCTAACTGCTGTTTTAAAGGAAAGATAATGATGATGAGATTAAGGTGGTTTCAGTAACAGGATTAGACAAGAGGAGAGACTGAATAACCTGCCAGGTAAAAAAAAAAGAAAGAAAAAAGGAGAGGGACAAGAGAAAAAAAAAGGAAAAAGGGCTGTCATCTCTATCAGCTAATCATGCTCGCTGTGAATAAATAAAATGACAGTTATTAAGCAGTGTTACAAATGACAAACGAGAGAAAACACAAAAGGGGGAAAGTGTTTAAAGGAGAAGTACCGTTTGAGTTGTTAATTACATACCTGCGGCTGAATCGCATTGTTGTTAATCAGCGCTATTAATGAAAGTGCGGGTTGTTATGGTGTTTTTTGTTTTTTAGATCTGTTGAGAGGTTTGACACACTGTCTCCCTGCTTTACCTTCTCTAATTATTTCATTATTCACCTGCTGCTACATCAGTAAACAAAGCTGTTTTTGTGACAGGATGACTAATGGTGGAGGTCTTGTGTCTGTGTGTGTGTTTGTGTGTATGTGTGTGTGCAGATCTGTCCTATCCAACCACCCCAACACACACACACATGCACACGCACTGTTAGAGGAAATCACTGATATGTAAACACCGATACATACGAGCCAGGTTTAGATGGTGAACGCGTGTTAAAGTAATATTCCTTCAGTATTAAGTATGTTTGTATGTTTGCTGGTGTGTGACCTGCACTCCCACTACAGTGTATTCTGGGTAAGTGGAGTGATGCCTTCACAGCCAGAAGCTCCCAGCTCACGTGTCTGTGGGTTTATGTTTTCCTGGGAACTGGTGTTACAGCTTCTACTTCTATGAACGTCAGCTCCTCCCCGGCTATATTCTGCAGCCACGTGACTCCTGCTGCTCCTTACTTCAGTGCATGCAGCCCCCTCCTCTCTTTGTCCTCATTTTGTTGTCTTCCCCTAACTTGACCTCCCCCTCTGTAGTGCTGTTTATCAGCAGGCTCCAACACACTACTCATTTATATGTCACATTGAAATCTCCATCTTTGTTTTTTTTCCTTGTATTTTCTACAGTTTTGTTTCACTTTTTTCAAGAACTTTATTCTTAAAAATCAAATTAATTTCAACATGTTTCAAATTTTACTCTTGGAAGTCAACACCACTATCTATACGATTATTACATAGGCAACACAAGGAGACAAAGACAGTGAAGACAGAATCATAAAAAGTTTAAAGAGAAATTCAATTTGAGTCTAAAGGTGCAATAAACATGCCATAGAATGAACATGAAAGGCTACTTGCATAAGTAGCGGGGTGTTTGTCATATGTGCACTGCGAAAACAGTGAATAAATAAAATTGACATCTTTTTAACACAAAGAGAAAAAGAAATATTAACCATTAAGCCAAATGAGTTGACTTGATGAAAATACAATACTTTAATCAATGCACAGATGAATGGGGAATTAAATTAAATGAAAAACATCAAGCGATTTATTAAGTTAGTGGGCCACAAAAACAGCTTTAGTGATTCTTGTCATTGATTCTTCAAATCTCTGGAAACCCATACGGTGATGGGTGGAGCACCATTCCTCTAAACATTTTTCCTTTAAATGGTGTTTTCGTGATGATTGTGGGCAATTGTGCTAGTTTACATGCTGGTTCATAAGGGGGGAGATTTGGTGTCTATCATTTTAAAATCATCCACCCCACAAAATCTATAAATAGAGGCACTGTCGTCCAGAAAGTCTTGGTCTTAGTCAGACTTTAGACAAAGTTGCATTTGGAGAAAAAAAAGACTGTTGCTGGTATTATTTTGGTCACAGTTGCCAGTAACTTTTTGTTACACTACTCCTGCATATCTCTCAGAGGAAAGCCAGATGGTGTATGTGCTGGAAAAATTTCGATGGCAGAGAATGTTTCTTCTTGGCAGTATTAAATGCATCAGTCTTTTCACAGCCTCTTCAAATGTACGCTGTTCTGTCATTAATTCTTTTTGCCATTAACACAGTAATTTGAAAATTCTTGAGGCGTGTGTGTGTGTGTGTGTGTGTGTGTGTGTGTGTGTGTGTGTGTGTGTGTGTGTGTGTGTGTGTGTGGCTGTGGCTGTGGCTGTCCCTGCAGACTCATTCAGCCAATAGCTGCACAATGCAGAGTGTGACTATCAATGCCTTTTGCTAAATATGCTAATAACCCAACACCTGTTTGTATAAGAGAGAAAAATACACACTTCACCTCTCTGTCGAGCACACAGTCAAAGACTCCCACAGAAGACACAGGCAAAGAGATTTTTAAGCTTATTTGAGGTTGGCTTTTTTATGGATCTGTGCTTAGAGTATTTATGCTGACTTTAATGTATTTTTGAGTTTTTGTGACCAAGACAGCATGGAGCCGCAGTGGTAACCTCTACTGTCTTTTCCCTTTTCTCCTTAGTGATGGAGCCCATGACGGTGACGACGTCAGTGGTCGGGCCGGAGGAGTTCGATCGCAATGCCCCCAGGATCTGTGGCGTCTGCGGGGACAAGGCCACCGGCTTCCACTTCAATGCCATGACCTGTGAGGGCTGCAAAGGGTTCTTCAGGTGAGTTTCATACTTCAGTTGATGTTTTTGCATGTTGCCTGTTTTGCGTTTTGGTGTATGTTTCTGCTGAGTGTAGGGTGTTTCTGGGTCCAGGCAATGTGAATACATCCTGCTGGGTATTTCAGTCTCTGGTTTGGGGGTTTGTTTGCCCCCTTAATAATGTTGTTTGCACATTTCTGCCAAAAGGACCATTAATCAAGTTAAAATAGTGAAACTTAGAAATAAGAAGTTTGAGATAAGAAATAAAAGCTGTTATGTTTTTACTTTCAAACAGCGAAGGGACCTTCTGTTGTATACTTCTGGGTCTTGCTAGTTTAAAATAAATGAAGTTGTATATTCAATAGCTTATGGGAAAAGAAAATGATCATTCTGTTTATTGAACATTGCCAATCTGAGTTTACATCATAACTGTAGATATTACTGCCTGCATGTTAATGAAGAGTGCATTGTTGTTGACACTGAGGTACAGTTTGTCTGTTTCTGCCTGGCTGCATGACAACGATTGCAGTGCTTTCAGAAGATTATCAATTATTCAGTGTTCACCACAGTCCTGTTATTTTTCATTTTCTTCCTCATCTCTCTTCTCCTTTTTCTTACCCATTACTCAAACAGTGATATTTTAATGTATGTATACTATTCAGCCACAGTGTGAAAATCACTGACAGCTGAAGTAAATGACCGTCTTGTTACAATGGAAAACGTTGCCTGTTGGTATTTATGTGGATGTTACTTTGTTGCGCACCACCCACTTAAACACTGTTGCTAACCAACACCCATTGTTACACAAGCTGTGGCTTCCCCACAAGGTGCCACACCAAACCACAAAAACTGCTCGGAAACAACTCAATTCATCTGTATTGTGTTTCTTATCTTTGTCTTCAAACTCAGACCTTAATCTCATCACAGAAGTATGTAACCCACACGACTTAAGAGACCAAATGTCCCAGTTTCAGAAATGTTGTGAAACTAAAAGGATTTTTTTTTATTCATGTCCCAGCAAATCATGTTTTGGCACCACAGAGTATATCTGTACAGTATAAAATGGATTTAATCTTTTGGTTTAGGCCTTCTCTTTTTAACTTTAAAATTTTGGATGTCTACATTTCAGTAGTATGTACAGTTCATCTGTTGCTGGGTTATCACCAGAAATGCCTGTTTTTAGTAGTATATCGCTTATGTTATAAATGATAAATGATCCCAAATGAGTAACTGATTCTTTGTGGCTCTTCATAGGCGCAGCATGAAACGTAAAGCTTCCTTCACCTGTCCATTTAACGGGAGCTGCACCATCACTAAGGACAACCGGCGTCACTGCCAGGCCTGTCGTCTTAAACGCTGCATTGACATCGGCATGATGAAAGAGTGTAAGTTGATATTTATGACCTCTAATAGTCTAACAGTACTTATGTTGTTGGTGCCATTGCTTGACATGTAAAACATGACTAAAGTATCTTGTATGTAAGTGATCCTTTTTTTTAATGATTAGTTGTAAGTTACTGGGCTGGGTATCAGAGTGAAACCTGCTGGTTTATATATTCAACTGTGGGGTTGAATATATGCTTTGTTAATGAGGACAAAGCATATAAACAAATGGGCATATAGACAAAGCACTTTTTTATTTCAGTAAGATACACTGAAATAATATTATTTTTATAAATTATATTATTATAAATTATATGACTATAGATGGAAAAATTACGATAGCTTCAAGATCAAGATTATGATTAAAAATCATGCTATTATTTGATGTTTGTGCTGGACTTTGATATATGCCTTTGCAGAGTGATACTGAGGCTGATATTAAAGCGAGCATTAACAGCTTTGCTCCTGCTTGACTTACCTTTGATGTAATATTCATGTTCGTATCTGAGATACTGAGCAGCTGGTCTGATGCTGCTTCTGTGTCACTGCTTAAATTAGAAACCAAGGCCACCGCTGCACAAAAGACAATTGATCTGTAATAATTATTTTATTTCTGTAGCTGGGATGGAAAATCAGCCAATAGCATAAATGGTTTTGGTGTAAATTGATCAGATTTATAGGAAGTAGATATCATAAGGTTTGCACCATATGGCAAACTCAGTCGTGGGTCAGATTGTTGCTGAACTTAATAATGTTGTTAATTCTCCTTATAGCCTTCCAGATTAGGGCTTCTGTAGTTAGTGAAGTTTAGTTGGTAGGATTAAAGCATTGTAATCAGTTACTGAAGTAATATTGTCTTATATTTTCAGTTTGATAGTGTTCTGCATTTAACTGTATTGGTTATGCATGTAGCAGCAGGCCTGGGTGTAACACAAGAAGAAGGTGCTGTCAAGGGAAAATGAGCCATCACCTCACCTTTTGTTAACACAAAATAGCATTTGATGCGCAGTGGCTACCATAGTTATTTTGCATGTTTACAAACGATCATATTATACAGTGCTTACATCAACGGTCCTGCATCCAACTTATTTAAATGAAAAATAGGGACTTTAATGTTACAAGCCAGTGTGCATTTCAGTCACATTAAAACTAACTATATAGTAATAGAAAGTACCGCCAGCATCACTGCATGAGCATAATTGTAACAAGTTGTAGATGACAAGAGGTAAATAAGAGAGCAAGTGGGAAGGAAGGAAGGAAGGAAGGAAGGAAGGGGGGAAGGAAGGAAAGAAGGAAGGAAGCCAGGAGGGGTTAAAAGTACTTTTCAACAATGGCTCGCTTTCTTCAAAGAGACAGAATTGTTGAGCTTCCATTTCATTCACAAAAAGACTGTGTGTGTGTGTGTGTGTGTGTGTGTGTGTGTGTGTGTGTGTGTGTAAGAGAGATGATGCAGGGCACAATTCAGACTGGTGATTGCCACCGTGTTCACCATAAATAGACATACTACACTGCAGTGTCTGTTTGTGTCTGATGAAAGAAAAGCGAAGAGAGAGCGAGAAGTTAGAGAGCGACAGGGACTCTTATGTGGATAAAATGGTCTCTTTGTCAGAGCTTATACACAGGTTTGTGGGGAAAACGCAGCCCACTGTATTCACTACTGGGAATTACAGCTGCTCTGCTTGTCTCTATTGTGCCTGCGAAGCAATTTTTCCAAATAAATATCCGTTGTATGCTATGTTAAAGCCTCAGATCTTTGGTAATGATAAATCTGTTATAGAAGAGACGTATTAATACCAACTGCAATTGTGTCATTGACACTGAAAAGAAATGTAGCAGGACTGTATGCTAGCAAGCTTGACACTAAAGCCCAGTTCACACGACTGAATCGAGTCAGATTATTAGCATTCTGTGAATAGAGTAACTGTTAAAAATATTAATATATTATCAATAGATAACATGTACAAGACTGCATGCAAAAATGCATGCAGTATTGTACAATATAAAATCCTGTCTTCCTTCTCTCACCCCAACTGGTCACTGCAGCTGACCACCCCTCCCTGAGCCTGGTTTTGCAGGAGGTTTCTTCCTGTTAAAAGGGAGTTTTTCCTTCCTGCTGTCGCTAAAGTGCTTGCTCATAGGGGGTCATATGATTGTTGGGTTTTCTCTGTATGTATTATTGTAGGGTCTACCTTGAAATATAAAGCACCTTGAGGCAACTGTTGTCGTGATTTGGCGCTATACAAATAAAATTGAATTGAATAAAAATTATGTAGTGTATGCACCTTGGAGCTTCAGCAACATACATACAGTTGGCTTCTTTCTTGAGTTATTTACAAGTTTCTACATCAGAGAATAAAGTTATGTTGAAACCAAGCACACCATTGTTTTTCTTGTGACATTACCAATAAGTTTGATGTGTCACATGGTCCTCTTCCTATTGAAAAAACAAAAGTTGTATCCAAGATGGCCGACTTCTAAATGGCCACCATGGTCACCACCCATCTTGAGGAGTTTGCCCCCTCACATATACTAATGTGCCACAAACAGGACTTTAATATCACCAACCATTCCCATGTTATTACGGTTTATCCATATAAATGGCCCACCCTGTAGAAGATAAGATCAAAGTGTATATGGACTGCTGTGTGTACCTCCAGTTATAAAAGAGTACAGTTATCTTTACTGATGTGTCTTTGTTGTGATAACATACCCGCAGATTACTGAAAATTCAAACTGATCCCAACAAAGAGCCAGATACAGCATTCTATCTACTCAAACATTTATTTATTTTTTATTTATTTAAAGTGATATGTGGAGTTGATAAAGGAGAACAAACAAGTGCTCGTAGTAGTTTTCAAAGCATTGTTTTTAGGGTAATTTTGCTTGTATGACAAAGAAGATAACTCTGATAACTCGTTCTGTGCATATATCTCCATGCGGTTCTTATGCGCCAATCCCAGCTGTTTGTGATTTATTTCATCAGGCGGCCTCGCTGCGGTTGCGTTAAAACTTCTGACTCAAAAGTATTTTCATAAAAAAATAATATGTCTTTGTCAGCTTTTATTTCCATGGAAATAAAATAACATAAGGATTAGGTTTCAGGATTTTTTTTTTCTTTTGTTTTTGAGGATAACATGTAATAAATGAATTTGAACGAGTCTTTTCATTCACACAGTTCAGTTAGCATCAGTTTTGGTGTGTATGTGTTTCTGTCTCTGTATTCTATCCTCTTTATTCTGACGGCTTTGTCTAAGCTTCACCGCCATTCAGATTAGAACTCCGTGTGTGTGTTTGCCCTCTGGTATCTGTGCCAGCTGAGTTCATAGTAAACACCCCTATGCTGTCCTTATTTGACAGAGGTTAGGTGGATGCCAGGACACCCCTCCCCCACGCCTGTGTGTGTGTGTGTGTCATAATACTTGCAGTGTTTGTGTATTTTTGTGTGCTTATCCTTGGGTGGGTGCTTATTTGTAACAGGATTAGAAGTTAAGGAGAATTTCTGAAACATTTTACCGTTTAGGTGGCTGGATTCTCGCCTGCTGTTGCCAAGCCCATCAGTTCCCTAATTTAAATTCTTCACCCTTTCTCTAATGTTTTTGTATTCTGTCCTTTTGACAACCTTTACTCTTGTTCGATGTAACCAGAATTGCCAGATGCTCACTTTGTGGACCAAACATGTTAAACAGAGGGAAATGGTGTGGGTCCAAAACTAAAAGCTTGATCTCCCAGCTTCATCGTCATGAATCTAATGGGCTATTTCCTCTCTAAATAGTAAGTGCAGTAAGTGCTGCAACAGTATTGGTCACCAGAACCACCTTGACATATATCTCACCAAATTGGAGTATTAGAAGTCTCAATTGTGTTTAAGTGGTTGGTTGGCTGGTTTATGAATAAGCCTGCTGGGAACCTCTGGGCCTCCACCACAGGGGCACTCTGCTGCTCGCTTATTGCCAGGGAACAGGACCGGTGTTGACCAAAACTTGTTGGATTTTAATTAATTGCCCCCATCACAGTTTGCCTTTCTTTCTTTCAGCCTTTCTCTCTTTGCTCTCCTCTGCCACTCTGGGCACTTCACCACATCCAATCACTGACTTTACAAACAGCAAACTTTCTTTTGGTAAACTGCTGCTGCCTGCCAAGTGCTGTGGGGTGGTCAAGATGTTCCTTTGATGGTTGGTTGTTTTTTGTGGAAAGCCTTAATGATTCCATCCAGTGCTCAAACTTGGCTGGAAACCGGTTCAATCATGTTCTGGGCTTTAGAATAGCTTCTTTGACGGCTGGTGCCAAACTTGACCAAATTGTGCCCATTCACGATTGAGTTATTTGGATGTCTTCACCACAAGGAGTGGTTCAAGACAGTCCTGGCTTGTGACTGGATGGACACCGGAGTGTAGCCAAAGCCTAATTAATTACAGTCAGTTAAAAGAGATGAAAGCCTAGTAAAACCTAGTTAGCTAAGCAGTCAAGCTTATTGAATTGCCTTTTTAAGCCTCAAGTAGTAGTATTTGTTGTTGTCGTTGGTCTCTGCATCACCCAATCATTTGATTATGTAACGCTGCTTCTGTGGTTGCAGTCCAGGGTGCAATTACAGAAAGTTCACTTTAAAATTAGTTGTTTACAACTTCCAGGGAAACAACCAGTATTCAAGATGAAGTGTGTGTTTTCTGAGTTCTATTTAATTTACAGTCAGCCATGACATATAATTGGTCTCTTAAGCTCTAAAGTACATAAATATTTGCTATCCTTGTACCTTTGATCCAAAGATGTATTTAAAATTAGAAAGACTACAGCTGAATTACAAAAGTTCCCTGTCTTTTAAAAATTGCACATGCTATAAATACTAAACAATAAAAAAAACAGCATAATGTGATTAGACTAAATTAATTGTGCGTAAAACGTAAACAAAACAGTTTTTCTGTAGCTGTCAGATTGCAGCCTCATCTTTTTGGGCTTCAGCCATGACAGTCTGTCTCTTCTTGGCAGTCGCAGCCTGTCTGCAATCACACTGTCTGTCTGCCCAGTTGAGCTCTTCATGGGTAATCGTTTACTATGGCGCAGAGTCAAAGGTATAATATGGGCCAAGGCATTCATAGGTCAGTGGAATGCTTCAGCAGTGACTACAGTGACCCATGGGCTCCAACTTCAGATAACATAAATACTAACTGTAAAAATATTTACCAGTATTTTTAGCATTTCTGAAAACGTTATCTTCAATAATTTAAATTACAATCAGGTGCCCCTTCAATTAGACAAATATCCAGATGCTCATTTAAAAGAGAAACTGAAACTGGAGTGTTTATTGAACCTTTTGTTTAATTTAAAAAAAAGAAATTAATGATCAGTTTAATTTGTATCATTTTTGCTACCATTGCTGGCATTTTTGTGTAATTTACTGCAATGTGTTATTTTGCGATTTATTTATGGGTTTTTTAGGGGTGAAAAAAACTTCTGACAAGATGTTACATAAACTCACAAAACCCATGTATCAAATATGGTATTTATGAATCCCTTGTGGCAGGACCATTTTATTGTAATGTAAAACCAGAGATTAGCCACTTCAGGAAATGTTGACAGTGATCTTATTTTCTAATACAATTTTATCATCATCTATCATGGTTTGCCTAGTCAAAGGGATCAGATTTTGTCAGAGGATTCACGGCCATCTGTCATTGTATATCATGTTTAAAATCCAAAGCAGACAAATGCAGGTCAGCGGCAATCTGTAGTAAATAATATGTTTTGATAGTCTATAATTAGAAAGCAATGTAAGGCTCTAAAACGTGTGCGTGCAAACCCAGGAATTCCCAAGCAACCGTCTCATCGAGTCAAGAGTCATTATAAGCAGTAAGTCTATTCTGTTCTGCACCACTGCGCCGCACTGCCTGCAGCTTCTGTCGGGCAGCATGAATAAGGAAAAAGGCACTTAAATATCTAACATTAACCGCGTCATCTGAATGAAAAGACCGGAGACATGACAGGCTTTTCTGCTTGCCAACTTGAAGCGATGCAATGGTAACCTGGGATGGAAATATTTGGGGCTTACATTACATCGCCCTTAGCTACTTTTATTGCTGACTTTCTCAGATTTCATCTATGAAAGTTGGTAATGATGCCTTAACTATTATCTAAGGTACCACACAGGAATTGCTTTCCTTTAACTCCTAACTTGATTTTGCTTCTTTTTCATAATTTCTTTGTAAAATGTTTTAATGTGTCTTTTATTCTATCTTCCATTGCAGTCATACTGACAGATGAAGAGGTTCAACGGAAAAGGGACATGATAATGAAGAGAAAAGAGGAGGAGGCAGCCCGAGAGGCCATGAGGCCCCGGCTGAATGAGGAACAGGCTCGGATCATCTCCTGCCTGGTGGAAGCTCACCACAAGACCTACGATGCCTCCTATTCTGACTTCACACGCTTTAGGGTTAGTCCTGTGAAAAGTTACTTTCTTTCTTCACACCTGCCAGAGGTCCTGGGTTAAAATCTGAGACAAGCCCCCACTTGTTAAGTTCTCCTGAAAAAGTCCAAGGGGTGTGGGAAAGTAAAAAGTGTCCGGTTTGAAAAAAAGAGACATGGAAGGAAAATTGTTAAAGTTTTAAAAAATGAATAATTAAACTTAAAGAGATGGATGAGCTGCTATCGCCTTCAAAAGAAAGAAAACATAACAAAAGCCTCTCTGGCACTCTGGCGTCATGGGCCACATAAAGCCCAGTTTGACCTTAAGATGGGATAAAGGAAAATCTCCTCTCTTTCAGTGCAAAGATGTTTAACTACACATGAAATCACTGAGATGTGCAATTTTAACTGCATGTCTCAGGTTTCGACATGAAAAATGTGCAAAATTACAGAAAAAAGTAGCTCACTGCCCAGAGTCTCCTGTATTTCTAAAACATAAAGTTTCTATATTTCTATAGATGGTTAATGACAGAAACATTTCTGTCATGTAATTGTTTATGTACTACTTAGTTCAGTTGATTTAGCATGAACGACCATGGGGGAGGAGAAACTGTAAAACTTACAGTTAAAAGTCCAAAAATGTATGCCCCTCTTTCACGTTTTCCAGCCTTCCAGTGGGTCTGACTGGAGTCTTTGCTGGGCTGACTCTGGTCCGGAGGCCTTATGTTTGACACCCCTGCACCAGCACTCTCTATTCTCTGGTCTTAATTGCTGAGTAGAGTCAGCTGTACAAAAAGGCTAGCACCTTACCCACGACCATACAGGGTAAAACCACAGCAGGCCCTACTAGGACAGTGACAGCTCACTTTATGATTAGTGGAGCAAATTCATTTTGTTTTCCAAATGACTATGGGTGTACCAGGTGTCATGTGTCATGACCTGGTACACACAGGATGAAAGCATGGAATCAGATCTGTCTTTTACTTTGTGCCTAATGAATATGATTAGATTAAATTTGTCTGCAGTAAAACATCAGGAATTGCTGCAATGTGTTAACACCACAGCAAGCCCCATTCATTATTACTGAGCGTTAACTCTTACACAATTACACTGACTTGAGCTGGACATGTATATGTGAGGTGACATACTTTAATCACAGTTTCCACTTATGCATATTTTTCACAGAAAATAATTATAAGTAACAATGAAGCAAACATTTTTGAATGAGTAATGAGAATTTGAGAACATGATTTTGGTACTTTTTGGTAATGTCACTGTTTTATATACAAAAATAGAGCTAATAGAGCAACAGTGTTGTGCCATGTGTGCCGACCAGGTTAGCTGTTTAATAGTTCACTGTTGTTGAAACGTGGGCTTTATTGAAATTCATCAAAGTGTTCTTCAGTGATCAGTGATTACATCAGCTGCTGGTGAGGCAGGGGCTGTTTTTGCTTGTTCTTTGTTTTTTTGGTAACCCCAGTACATACAGGAAATTTTCAGAACACGGTGTTCATGCACACTGTGCAGCAAACCTGACATTTCTAATTCTATTATGTGAAGCTTTATTACTTTATTATTGTGACTGCTATTCTGAGTAAAACCTCAAATAGAAAAAGAACAGTTCCAGCAGTCCCTGCTCCTGTGACACAGACCTGTGGTGTGTTGTGATTACTTGGACTTTTGGAGCCCATGAAAACAAGCCCAGCAGCACTGGGTAATATTAATGCTTGTGTTTACGTGTGTGTTTGCAGCCCCCGGTACGCGAAGGCCCGGTTACACGCAGTGCCAGCAGAGCTGCCTCTCTTCACTCACTCTCTGATGCCTCGTCTGACTCATTCAACCACTCACCTGGTGAGACAATAAAGGGTCCCTCTTCTCTTGTGTGTTTTATCAATCAGGGTTAGGACACAAGGACCCAGCTGTGAAGAGATCTGTTGATTAAAAATAATAATAACTAAGCTCCATTTTGCGGTTGTATCACACCAGCTGCATTGTCAGTGAGCTCCTGGATCATACCCACTGTGGAAAACAAACAGACCCAATAAAGGAATACTCATATTTGCAGTTACAAGAAATATGAGGGGTGCTTGTGCCCACTGTTAGTCATATACTGACTCACTGATGCTCCACAGTGAAGCTGTAGTGATTGTACTGATCTTGAGCTGCTGTGTGTCAATCTTTTTTAGAATTTGTTGCTTCTTTGCCATATCGGCCAAACAGAATACACTTAATACCTTTCATTAAATTACTTAAAAGTCTTTGGCGCATTTATTATTTAAACCCATCGGTTCAAGGTGAACTCACTTGCCATCTCCGCTGTGTAACCGGTAACTTGCTCTTTGCTATTTCTGTCTGTTCTAAATGTTTTCTTGTAATCCCTCCCTTCCTTCCCCGCCCTGTTCCCCTTTCCCCCCTTCCTCCTTTATCAACTTGTCTCCTAATCCCCTCCTTGAGCAGAGTCAGTGGACACCAAAATGAACTTCAGCAACCTGTTAATGATGTACCAAGATGGCGCAAGTAGTCCAGACTCCAGTGAAGAGGACACAAAACTTTCCATGCTGCCCCACCTGGCTGACCTGGTGTCCTACAGCATTCAGAAGGTTATAGGCTTTGCCAAGATGATCCCAGGCTTCAGGTACCAATTAAAGCCTCTAATGAGATTTGCCAAGAAAGTACATTAAAGCATTTTGTTATTTTTGTAACTAATATTTTTAAAAAGATGGATTCATCTAATTTGCCATAATTTACCAACAGTTGCTAAACACTATATAATGTTAGCTTTATTTGGGTTTACGTGGGTCCCAATGCACCGATAAAATAGCTGATCAGCTATTTCGGTAGATTACTCATTTGATTCACTAAGAAAACATAAACATAAATGCTAAAAATTTGGCCATTCTAACTTCCAATATGTACGGATTAACTGAATCTGCTAATTTGGCTCTGGAAGATTCTAAAGAACATTTTCAGTTTCTTTTTTCCCACATAGATTTCATTTCCATAGACATGAGACCAATAAAATGATTGGCAGATTATTCAGTAATCTGACTGAACATATAATTTGAATACTTTGTTGTGAATGTAATTGAAATGTCTTAGAGACAAAGCAGACTGCTTAATCTGATCCAATTAGAGATAAGCAGGAAAATTGCTGGGCTCAGAGGGGCTCTGATTGCTAGACGTCTCATACCATAAAGCCGCTAATATTCTAGCAATCTTATTCTCAATGCCATTAACTAAGTTTCTGATATGTTTTTTTATGGACTCGTTACAGTATATCCATGTTATATTTTCATTTTTAAAATTAAATTTGCAAGAGTTTCAAGCAAACTTTCTTCACTTTTTCACTATGGGCTCTTTTCACCAAAGTTTTGAGGTGGCACATGAATTTAATTAATTTTGAAATAAGACTGTAACATGATAAAATGTAGAACAGGTGAAGCACTGTCAATACTTTCCCGATGCATTGTAAATTCTGGTGCATCCAATGGGTAGCACATAGACGATGCCCCACCCACATGAAGGGCCCGGTTGTTTGCTGGGCATTACCGAGTAAGGCGAGATGCTATTATCAACCCCCAAACAAACATGCTCTTCCAAGAATACTCCAGAACAGGCTGTAGCTTTATAAATACATGCAGAGCAGAGATAAATTTGTAAATGTATGCACATACAGAGACAATGAAACAGAAGAATAAACATGGAATACTGTATCTCTCACGTGGGTGTGCATAACGCATACATGTCTGCATCTTGGGAAACAATAATGGCTCATGGATAAGTAAGCTCTATGCTGTGAGGCCCAAATGAAGAAGTTTGGGATTTCTTTGTCAACTTTCTTTTTTCCTTTTCTTTCTGTAGGCATAATTATAGAAACATTTAAATAGTGTTTAGATCCTTGGTATGTAAAAACAAAGGAAAAAAATTCTGATTTCATTCAGCAGTGATCGCAGGAACATGTAGATAAAAGGCCTGTGGTTCTCTTACATTTGCATCTGCTTGCATCAGTGAATGCAGATGCACATACTTTTAGTTCTGTTTGCAAAGATCTCTGTTGCTAAAGTACCTGTTAAATACATTGTTTTATTTCTTGTTCTACTATCTCTCTACCTCACAGACGAACAGTTATTTGTGTATATAGGTGGTTAAGTGGAACTCGTCAGATGGAACAGGGGAGAGTATTCTGGGGACGAGAACATTTTGGGTTTTTTATTGGCACGCTTAATTTACATCAATTAAAATGTAAAGTTTGTTTGCAGCCAGTGTTTGTTACCGTGCACGTGTACCGCTATATAACAGTACAATCTGACCCATTTCCAAACTTACTACATGCACTATTTGTTTCTTTGGCTTTTTGTATTCTAATAAAACACTTTACAGTTAAAACTGTATTTTAAATATATTTACCCATGATTAATTAACAATTTATGATAATCTATTATTATTTTATTTGGTCTTGTATGGGTTATTCATGAAGTTATACATGTATAACTTTATATGGTTAATGCATTATGAAGGCACTATTTCTCTCAGGGCTTCAAAAAGTAAAGTAAACCAAAGAAAACACCTTCTTCTTCTGTCCCAGGTCCAGATTCACTGATTTGACAGTGCTTGTGCCTGACTGAACCAGTGTAGTGTGACTCATGCTTTTATCTGTAACTGTGTGTGTTGTACAGAGACCTGACAGCAGAGGACCAGATCGCTCTTTTAAAGTCAAGTGCCATTGAGATCATCATGCTGCGTTCAAACCAGTCATTCAGTCTGGAAGACATGTCCTGGAGCTGTGGAGGACCTGACTTTAAGTATTGCATCACCGATGTGACAAAGGGTTGGTCTCCTCTCATTCATGTAGCAGCTGCACAGTAAAACTAAAGCATCGGTGACTGCATTTCATGTTTACAGTATGTATTTTTAAAGAAGCATGTACAGAGCGTGTAAGAGACCATGCTTATCTGTTATATATACTCTTAAAACATGGACTCCTCTTCTTGAGTCACTGCTCTGGAGGCATTGGTGAATAATAGCTTTACACACTCCCAGGTATAGAGTGTTAATTGTTGAAGCTGGTGACACAGCTGGGATTATTTTTCTCCCAGTTTATATAACAGTCTTACAAGGATCCCCCACACTCGGCTTTTTACGCACACTTGCACATTACTGTGAGGTTTCAATTTCAGGTATTTTCAGCCACAAGCGCACACTCTGTGCTTATTCACTCGTACATGAAGGGCAGGTAGCGATGTTCTCTGTCCGCAAAATAGAAATACACATGGAGACCAGGTGTGTTTTCATTCATAAGCACAATGTACTAACAGTGAGTGTGTGTCATCCTTCACAGCGGGTCACACTCTGGAGCTGTTGGAGCCGCTGGTGAAATTCCAAGTCGGTCTGAAGAAACTCAACCTGCACGAGGAGGAGCATGTGCTGCTGATGGCCATCTGCCTGCTCTCCCCAGGTACTGCCGCTGCTGTTTGTGTGTTCGTCCGTGCCTTCATTGTCTTGGAGTATTTCCAGCTGAGCCATGCTTTAAAGATTGAGAATAGAGATTAGAGATGGTTAGTGGTTCGTTTCACTACTAACAACACCGTATCATCAAAGTGTGAACAGCATGGCGCAGGGTGTGTGTCGCATTCTCTTTCCGACCTAGATTCCTCCTATAGTCGTGTGCTGCCAGTAACACAAGAAAAACTTTTCCTGGAAGACCAAATGTGCTGTTCAGTACATTAAAGCATGAGGTTACAAAACAGCGTGGGAAGCAGAAGTTTGCATGCTGTAAATGACAAGTTTGAACCAGTGAATGAACATTAGGAGTATCAAATCCCTGAATCACAGAAAGAATCTGTCAAGCAGCAGGGTCATTTGTAGAGAATGTACACCATTTCAAAAACAGTTTGTTTTGTTTTCCTTGAGACTCGAGAGCCTCAGGGACACACTATTTGTATCAAAGCAACAGCACTTAGAAAGCAGCCGCAGTTAGAAATTAAATTCTTTGAGGGAGGGAAAAAAATCATTAGTTCTGTCCTTGTTCTCTGTTGCTATTATGTTGAAAGTAATCCAATAAAAACTTGTTATCTACACATCTTTAGTTACAGTACACACTCTGTGGTGCAGATTTCTAAGCACACAGAACAGAAAAAGGTTCAAAATATATTTATCCAGTAATAAGAAAGACTAACAGTGACAGACGTGATCAAGACCCAGAACATCCCATCACCATGGCCCTTACACGTCTCAGACACTAACTGATAGCAGACAGTGTTCTTTTTATCAACCTGCTCATATACAATACTGTGCAATACTGTGAAGTCTCAAGGCAAGCTTTCTTTCCTATTTTTTTTTTTAATTTCCTTTATAGTCGTTTCTGATGATTAAGGACCTTGAAGTGCACTTTATACATTTTTTGTTCTTTACTTCTTTGCTTTAAACATATTGAGTCCCCCTGCTGGTGATGCAGCTTCTGCATGTGTGTCCATTTCATGTTTTAAAGAGGCAAAGTGTGAAATGGACTCGACGTACCGGCGTGTCTATTACATGTTTTGCCGTGATACTGGGTTGATGGATAATATCTTCTGATGAATCACTTTGTTGGTGCTAGAATTATGTAGGCCTTTTTTATGCTTGAATGCTTGATAGGTCATTATGATTGGGTTAACTATCAAACTTACAAGAAAATGTGAGGGATGACTCAAAACTTTTGCACAACATTTTATACAAAGCAGGTAAATGTTTTCTGTTAGAGCAGCAACATTGTTGTACAATCTATGAAAAAACTGTTTATGGTTCAATTTGAAATGCACACTAGACAGCTGATGCATTTTCCTTGAAGAGACAGTAAGAGCGTCTGTGCGTCAGCTGTCTCTGCTGAGTGCAGGGAGGATATTACAGAGTGAAGATAACAGCAAACATTCCTGAAAAGAGACATTCTCCCACGTCATTAATCACGTCTTGTACACGTGTATATAAAGATCCTAAAGTCTGAGTCAAGCATGAGGAGCATATTTAACACAGAAATGAGACAGAAGTAATAATAATAATAATAATAATAATAATGGATTGCATTTATATAGCGCTTTTCAGCAACAGTGTTAAGTAATTGATATGATAATTACATTAATTTTATGATCAAATCAAACTTTTTATTAACAGGGAGCATGATACCAGCCTACATGTCTGTAGGCTGGTAGCATTACTACTTAACATTTAAATTCAGTATTTTCAAAAACAAAACAATTAAATGTTCTGAAATATGTTTTCTTTCTCGTTCCATCCACCCACACCTCCCGTCTCCAATCTCACCCTGCTGCTCCCTCTTTAATTTTCTCTGTGCTTCTGTCTGATTATGCCTTTCCGTCCACGCCCCCACCTCGTTTGTTGTGTGACCTTGCTCACGATGGGCTATACTCTCCACTCCCTCCACCCTCTTTGTTCTCCCATGTCAGATCGTCCCGGTGTCCAAGACCATGCCCGCATCGAGCAGCTCCAGGACGACCTGTCCGAAGTGCTACAGGCCTACATCCGAGTCAACCACCCAGGTGGACGTCTGCTCTACGCCAAGATGATCCAGAAGCTGGCTGACCTGCGCAGCCTGAACGAGGAGCACTCCAAGCAGTACCGCTCGCTCTCCTTCCAGCCCGAGCACAGCATGCAGCTGACCCCGCTGGTGCTGGAAGTGTTTGGCAGCGAGGTGTCATAGCGGTGGAGGAGGCCTGCGTGGATGCATTCACACGCTCGTAACACAGAGGATGAGTAACCAACCCCTGCTGCCTTTTCCCCAAGAACGCCACTGCCCTCATAAAAACCTGGGCATGTGGGAGAAAGATGGATATTCTGACAGGTAGACAGTAATCTTCACCTCTTCATCATCTCTTCATCCTCCTAACCTCAAGCTACAAGACTCAGACAACTGGACCTCTGGATTTACAAAAATGAAACACACTAAACAGGTTCTTGCTTTCTGTTGCACTTGGATAATCAGATTTTATTTTTGCTTCTGGATTTGCAAACACTGTACAGAATCAGATTTCATTACATCACTCAGATATCCAGACTCTTTGACATCCTGGTCCTCTCTCCATCCCCAAACTCCAAAAATCACCCCTTTATCATGATGGCCTTTCCTCAAAAACTACTAGATTCCTGCCACTTTTCCTGCAGTGGGATGGACACAAATGTCTCATCCTCTTTGTAACATTGCTCCATGTTCACGCCATTGCCACAATACACAGGAGCAAATGCACAGATTTACTTTCATTACCCATGCTGGGTGATAAACTCGGTTTAGATAGCTATTAACTCTTGTTGGTTTACAGTTTTCAAAAGGAAAGACATCCAAATATATTAAATATCAGAAGCCATCGGCAAGCTTACAGTAATCTCATAGAAATACAAAGTGAGAGTGGAGCAGGCGTGTTCCCCTGTGAATCTGTGCATGTAGTCTCAGATAGTGTAATAGACTGAAGAAGGACATTTAAGTAGGAAAGCGTCAGGATGGGAATGGTGGGAAGGAAGGAGGAAACGAGGTTGGATAAATGGAGGGAGGTGCTACAGATGATGGAATTCCTTTTTCACAGGACAAAAAGGAATTTAGTAAAAAAGAATGTATGTATAAAGCTATATAAATATAAATGATACGTATAAGCTGACATATATAGGAAAACATGGTTGCTTCCATGGAAGCAAATAGTTCTGACTATTGTACTATGTAGAGGATTTGAAGGCCTCTCCTCTGTTGTGTGTGTGTGTGTGTGTGTGCGTGCGTGTGTGCGTGCATGTGTGTGTGTATATGTCATATTTCAAAAGGCAATTACACACACACACTGAGAAGCGTGTGAGGAGTCCTTTTATTTGCGAGATACGTGTACAGAGAGGGAGAATATTGATGGACCACTGGGGGGGGTGTGTACAGGCTCTGACTGAGGGTCTAGTGCAGGGAAGCATTTTGGACCTGTGAAGTTTGTAGAGTGACATACGCAAACACAACTTCATGTTGCATGGATAGTGACTATCCAAAAGTATTTGTTCAGCTGGTTAGATTGCTGCTAAGACAGAGCTGCGTAGTTGGAGAGAAACCAGCTACCAGCTGTTGCCTCAGGGAAAAGTTTGTCTGATGATATTGTGTACTTGGTGTTTACGATGTGTGCGGCGTAAGCGTACAATCATGAGACCGAGATTGTTTTTGAAGCTCTAGGCATCACTGTGATTTCTAATCATACTAAATAACAGCAGGAGGAAGCTAAAAGAGGGACTTTTTGAAATAATAGTTAATGCGAGACTTTGTTTTCTAAGCTTATCTGATCAAAGAAATTACATTAGAGGTCATAATTAATACATTTCAAATGCAGACTCATTGGTGTGAAAGTATCTGCCTTAGCTTTAGTTTGTCTGATTGTTTTTTTCCCCCAAAGTCAGAACAGTAGCAATATACAGTAGTTTAATGTTGTGAATGAAATCCTGAAGATGCTCTTAGTAGCAGAGTAGCGATACAACGCACGAGAAAGATTTTCTTTATTTGTAAAAAGGTAAACTCAAGCCTCATATCTTTTTATCACATTTGTATAATTTTAACACCAGCCACATAAGCGAGGTTTAGAATGTTAATTTTCAACATCACTACATATCATACATCACATTTCTGTTGACACAGTGTTTGCTCACCCTCATGCAGACCTGGACCACCCCCTTGTGGACAAACTTTGTAAATACCACTTGCTAATTCTGTACATATTTAGAATTTAACGTAGGATAATATAGGAAGAGAATTCACTTGTTAATGGCGAGATGCTCTGCTATATGCAATTAGGAGTTGAACTCTTATGTTTTATTCTGCTAGAACGAACAGACATGGCAGTTCTGGACAGGTTGCTGAGCTGTTTCAGGGAGAACCGGAGAAGACTGCTGGCTTTTTTTCTTTTTGACATTAAGCGGAAAGAAATGTACCTGTTTTATATGAGTAAAACACCACCACAGCTAAATGAATTCCTACTGAATTGGCCAATATAGTCCCAAATAGTGGACAAACATCAATGAGACTTCGAAAAAATATGTTTTATAATTACAAACACTTCATATGATTAAACATTCCCAGTGGCATTTGTTTTTGAGCATTCCATCTACACAGTATACACACAGTTGGTGTAAGCATCCTAACACACTGGCGGCCTTTGAAACATGCCCAACAGCTCAGTAACTTCTCGCTAGTAAATGTCTTCTCTGTCCATTTCAGGCTTATGGATGTATGTCTTTTTCTCTCTCCTTCTAAAGTCAATCGATAAGCTTCTGACAATTATACAGTATATTCATAATCTTTTCATTTTGGTGAACATCTGATTTTATTTACTGATTTAATTTTGTTCCTTTCAAGACTGTCACTTGTATTGCGTGTCAGAGTTTGCCGTCTTGCTGGCGCTTGGCTTGCTGCGCTGCAGTGTCGTTTTAGTGAAGCAAAGATGAGCAAAGCGGACTCCTGGAGCCGTTTTCCAAGAACAAGCTTCTTCTTCCCTTTTTTTCCCCCTGATATCAAGTGAGTGAAGATGGAATAGCTTTTTCTTAACTCACATAGTGGCTTCATCCTCACATACGGGGAAGGGAAGGAACACTGACACTGATTTTTGTTAATGGAAGGAAAGAAGTCAGTGTCGCTGTTTTCCACCTGGAGCTGGATCATTTCTTTGTGAACGGAGAGGCAGTCCCCAACTCTGTATAGAAAAACAAAAACATCTCCTTCTTCAAACCCTCTTGTGATAAACTAACACTGCCTCAACTGACTTTCACAGGACTTAACCAACGCAAACTGTTGCAGCTACAGCATGGGCGTGCCTCTTTTTTCATCAACCATCTAACCACCTCAATAACCAGTTACAGCAGGATTACTCTTCATAGCTTTAACTCAGCAGCGAGTCAAGCTCTACTTTGGAAAACTGTGGTGCACCAAGGGCTGATGGGAGTGTAAGTTTTAGGGGCCACAACTGCTGTGGAATTGTACAGGTCGCTCAAATGTGGAGATGACAACCGAGAATGGCTCCTCTGTCCGGCTCGACCCAGGAAACCTTTGGAGTGGACCTCTAGAAGACTGTGTAGAATCTGTAAAGAGGATTAAAGGAGATAAAAGACTTTTTAAAAAGAGAATTGCCACAGATGTGCAGACTTAGTGACACACTGTGACACTGACTGATACGTCGCCTGTTAAAATCCAAAGCGGGATGTTACCTTTGTCACTGCTCTGCGTCTCGCATCGCAGCTGTTTAAATTCAGATTTGTTTTGTTTTGTTTTAAAGTAATCGTCATTTGCTAAAGAACAGTTGTTGACAGACTTTTTACATTTACATCTACATCATCTGTTTCAAAAGAAATGAAGGAGAGGGTGATGGTGCGAGAGTCTGCTCACTTGTAAGGATTCCCTATTTAACTTTGCTATGCTGCTGCTGGATGCTGACTCCTCTCTGGAGAAGCCCTACTTGCCATTATTAATGTATATATTTAGGGTTAAACATGAAACATCTGGCTTATACATTTTAACCTAATAGTTGTAGCTGATGCTAGAGGCCGTTAGCGTTCAAAAGAATCCAAACAATGCACAAGTCTCTCGCACCATTACCCCTCCACCCTTCAACCCAGGTCAGCAGCTCCACCTCAGTAGCCTTACTTACAGCAACCTCACTCAGCTGGAAACATTTAACAGATACCTCAGTAATGTACAGGACAACTTTTCACAATAGCCTTCAAGGGAACCAAACATAAACTCATACCACAGATGTACTCAGCACACACCAATACAAACACACACACTACAACTCTCTCCTCAGCAACCTTTGCAGTGTTCATAAGATATACAGGAAACTAGTTGCCAATTGTTGTAAAAAGGTTGTTAGGTAGAATCCTGTTGTGAGTAGGCCAGTGGATCCCAATGTTTCTCAGTGTTAACTTTCACACTCTCGTTTTTTTCCTCTTTACTCACTTGCTGTCATCACTGCTTTGCTCTCTTTTTTCTTCGCACTTTGTCGTCTCTCTGTCTCTGTAAACGGACGACGCACCGCTAAGCTTTAGCAGTGCGTTTAGCCAAACATACTACCTCTCCCTTCTGCACATAAATTTATAAATATATATATTTTTGTCGCAGCATGATTGTGCTTAATATAAAACATCCATTTTTACGTTAACACTAATTTAGAAGTTTTTTGGTGTATATGTACAGTATATTCCTTTTTTATCTCTTTTTTAAAAAAAATGCTGGATGATATCTATTTTTTTTTTTTTTTTACTTCAAATTTCTATATAAAATTTTAAACTCACTTAAATCCGAGGCCTCTTTAGCTCCACTTTCTCACCTAAGTGTGTAGATGCATGTTAAAAATGATGCATGAAAGTGAGGCTACATTCAGAGCAGCAGAAAGTGCCAGAATTCTTTTGGATTCTTTTTATGTGTCTCAAAGAGCAGATTTATGTTTTTTAAAGTATTATAATTATTATTATTGTTTTACCCAGGAGAGAAAAAAAACCCATTTTTTTAGGTAAATATCTAAATGAGCAACTTATTGGTGGAACAGACATAATTTTGATGAAACAGTAACTTTACAAAGTCCCCTTTACCAAGCAGAAGAGCTGACTCGATAGGTGAAGTTTTGTAGACTGAAGCATCGTATAACAGAACTTTGAAATGACTGAGAGGTAGAGCCTGACTGATTTATTGGCAAGGCGATATTATTGGACTATATTTGCTATTTTTTGTTATCTGCATTTTTAATTGAAAATAGAAATGGAAAGAAGAGACAGAAGAAACACCCTTCAGCCATGTTGCGAACGGTGATATTACATAGTTTTTCCACCAGAGGGCACTTGGCACAAACAACAAGCGGATGATCTGAGGTGAGCTGGATAGAAGGTGAACAAGTGAATAAATAACTACACATAACAAATGTTCAGGAAAGTTGTATGTATCGTGCATACAAAACAAAAATAATCAGCCGATATTTTGGATTATTGGATTTTCATACCACTCGATTTTAGAATCGACCTTGAATATCCTGTATCAGTCAGGCTCTACTGCGAGGTGTGCGGGACCTAAAAACAGTTTATAAAAATTCTGAAGAGAGATGTGTCATAAACTCAGCAAAATAATAGTGACAAGTTTAACATTTATGGAAGTTCATTTTCTTGCTTTCATGAAGCAAGTTAGACGTTTGATTGATACCACTTTGGCTCGGTGCAAATATTAAGCGGCGACTTTGTTTCTGTAACAAGATGTAAAGTTATATAAGCTCCATATTTTACCTCCACCCATACAAACGTTGCTGTTAAAGTGGACCTGTTATGTTTTCCCTATTTGTTTGGGGGGTGGGGCTTGGTATCATTTATATATATACTTATGATGGAAGCTACTCATCTTAAATATGGCTGAAGCTTCAAATAATGAATGGCTTATGTACAAGTAATCACTGTGAGCCAAAACCTCAACTCTGTTTTTATACTCCTAGATCTGTATGATGCCTTTGGTCTTGGTGTAAGCTTCACCTAGTTGCTGTACACACTATGTGTGTGTATGAGGGGCAACCAATCAGAAGAAAGTTAGCTTAGGGGGAGGGTTCCCTTAGAGGAAAGGAATGTTTCGAACAGGATGAGCTGTGGCGCTGCACCAAGGACAAGTATAAGCTAAAATAAGGGATGTTCTTTTTTTATCCTTGAATCATGCCAGCTACTCAGTACAGACCAACAATAAAAATATGGGGCTGGAAATAAACATCACAGGTCCACTTTAAGGTAACTGTCTCCAGGATGTAGCTTTATATTAGGCATACAGACATGAGAGTGGTATGAATCTCATTTATACCATTGCAAGAAAGCAAGCATCACGCTGCCCCAACAATTCATTTAACCAACAAAGTCACAGAAGGCAAAGGTAAAGTTGAGAGCAGTAAATCAAAGACAAAGCAGGGACAAAATACAAATGAGTGATTTTAAATCAAAACATACTTGACAAGCTTGAGTTTCATGAGGCTAATTGATTGCATGTCAAAATAGAGATGGTTCATTATGAGCAGTCAGGAATCGAGTCTCATGGGTTGTTGTATGAAAGTAGCATAAAGCCAGAGAACCTAAGTGCAAACTTTACAAACAAACCAAAAGAATCTGAGCTCTGCGAAACAAGAGGAAGCTGGTCCCACTTGAATCTGCTCGTCAGTTAATCAAAATAATACGCTAACAGATGTTTGTCTCTACTGACCCACTGCTGTTGATGAATTCATCCCACACAGTCAGAAACCTCTCAGTCAAACTTATGTAAATGTTGTCAGCTTCAGCTCAGATAATGAGAAATGCAGTTCGACTTTGACAACTTTGTTTTCCCCCTAACATTCAAAATGTAAAAAAATAACTCCCACCACAGTGACCCTCGGACAGCTTTGTTTTCCCGTGACTGTCTGCGTGTGTTTGTGTGTGCGTGTGTTTTCTTTTTCTCTAGTGCCCTTCAGTTGTCTGATAAGGGTTTACAACATTGGGATCCTATTTTAGATACAGTAACAGTTTTTGGGTTCTTTTGCATCAAAGTATCACGCACCTGCACCAGCCCAGCACTTCTGCCTTCTTCTAACTCTGAATGCTTCACCTATGTGCTGCTCTCACTTAGCTTTCAAATTAAAGCAGACCTTTAGAAATATATGATATGAATGACTTAGCGAGACTTCACTGTGGCATTCTAGAAATTAATGGGTCATGTTTCAGCTCACAGCATGTGCTTTTGGTTTTCTAAGGTTCATTTAGCACCCTCATCTGTTGCTGATGGAAATCCTTTGGCAGATGCTTCATTCAATTTGCCTCCTGATTGACGTCATATAGTGTCCTTAAAACTATTATTAGGAGGATTAGTCTTAGTTTACACTTAAACGAGCTGTATTCTGAACAACAGGCTGTGACTCGGATTCATATGTTGCCTGTGTTTGAACCTAAGGAGAGCGGACAGATAGAAAGCCAGCTTTTCTGTTGTCTAACAGATGGATTTCACTCTAAACAGATTGTCATCTGTTGCATTTCTTTGCTACCTCTTTCAATATGCGCTTACACAGACACACACACACACACACTGAAAACGCTGCACTCAAAGGTCAACATGCACCCATTTGTAACTGACTGTAAGAAGACAGTGAACACATGACACACACTCAAACACACGCACACTTGTGCCCACTTCTTTTCCCTCACCAGCAGTTTTTTGCCAATGATGCACTTGTGTTTTTGTCTCCAAATGCTCTGCAAAACATATGTTTAAAAACATTTTTAAAAAGAATTAGTCATCAAGTTTTATTTTTTTAAAACCTGTAATCTCCATAGTAAGACCTGGGCTAGCCAGGTGCTTAGAAGTGAGTAGGTTTTTCATCCATCTGTATAGAAAGATTCATGTCTTCAAAAATACGAGAGAAAAGAAACATAAATGCACATATTTCTCAGCTCAGTTGTACCTTGGTGTGCCTAGAACCCACAGCCTTATTTTGGGACAATATCAGGGGTTTTAACCAGAATACACGATGTTCTGTAGAGGACAGTTGAGTTTTATCGAGTAGCCCTCCCCAACCCTCCCTTTATTTCCACAATCGGTTTTACGATGTGCATGTGGAAGGTGCGCATCCTCCACGGGGTGTGCTATGTCAGTGTTTCAGCTAGTTGTGATACTTTATTTATTCCCCTTTCAGACGACACTTTAGAGTTAAAGCAAACAGAAAAACAAGCAAGAAAAAAAACATTTTGGAGTCTGATTTAATTTTTTTAAATCTAATTTGGCTCGATTAAAAGTCTTTTTAAAGGGTTTCCAGTAAATAACGATCTATTATGTAGGTCTGTGTATTTCTTGTAGAATAAAAATAAAAGTTGAAGTAATAATTGATCTCACCAGAGTCCCAAAATAAGTACTTTTGCTTTCACACATGCACACCACCATGCAGTAAAACTCAGCAGATCTCAGTGCTTTGAGCAGAAATTTGTCTTTTTCAGAATACACAGTTGCCAGGGCGCTGCTGTTGATGGCACCATCAATAGCCTTACGTAAAGACAGATAGTGTTATACATGAACTAATGTCTCTGTGTGGTATGAATCACCACCTTTTATTTTGTTTTTTGCTCTTTTCTATTTGCTCTTCTCTTTGAAGTTGATCCATTGTACTTTGGTTAAATGCATTGTATTTAGTAAAATACTGATGATGTTTTGGGGAAATCACACAAATAAAACAGCTGTACATAGTGACGCAAAACAGCCCTTGTGTCCTCGCTTCTTTGTGTCGTGCTGTAGAAGAAAACATCGCTTATTTCTAACTTAATGCTGATAAATGAAACCTTTTTTTTTCCTAGAAATACATCAGTTTTCACATTTTTAAAAAAATTTGGAACAGCATAATTCAAATTCCTTTTACCTCAGTTAGATTTTTCCATCATTGTGAAAAAAAACCTGCAAAGTTAAAATGCTATGTGTTTTTTGTTTTTTTAAAGGCACAAATTAGTCCCTGCATGTCATCAGAGAACATGTATGGGGTGATACTTTAAGGCACATATGCAAGTTTCTTTTAAGTTAACTGATTTTACTATAATCACCAGAGGCCCCCAGACTTTCCATTTATTTTTAATAATCCACTTAATTACAGTCACTTATACTCAAAGTGAAACAAATCGACAAACGAGCTTGCAAAGCTCTTCTGTGTCCACTGCTCATTGAGAAATATGGAACTATTTAATGAGCAATATTTTTTTTTCCCTGAGTGAAGTTTGTTGATATTCTGTCATTTTATTCTCCACTTGATGTTGGGGGAAATAAGTGAATTAATTAAAATAATTGTATTTAATTTAATTGTGGGACTGCCTCGTTTATTACCACATGGCTGTACACTTCTTTGGCCGGTAGAGGGCGCAAATATGCTGCTGTAGTCCTGAGCGGCTGATAGACTCATCGAAGTGGGTCATTCCGTATGTGGAAATAATCATACCGAATATAGAACAATATTCCGATTTCACGTCTCCGAAAAAGTCAAAGGATCATTAAATTTAATGTATTTCACCTACTTTTTCTTCCATTTTCCTTTCAGCTTTTGGACACTTTCACATCTTCACCTACATCCTGATTAGTGACAGCCGCAGTGAGAAGCTGCCTTCCATTTTCTTAACGTGCATTAAAGATGCGCATGATTTTTTTTTTTAATCAAGTACCGTTACATGTCTTTGTCACCTCAGAGTGGTGACCAAATTGCTGCTGTCCCCAAACATGACCACTTTCATTTTTTCCGTGTTAGACTTTCATCTGCACAGCGCCATTCCTCGTGACTGATCTGTGTTACGTTCACTTCTCTCCCTGACGGATTGCCTTATCTAATGATAAGACAGCAGCTGTGGCACGATGAAAGGAAGAAGGGCAGTAGATGTAAGGAACAAGATAGATAGGGCTTCCCACTCAGCGAGAGCCGGGAGGCTCATTTTAAGTTTCTCTTTGATCACAAACGTATTCGCCCCTCTTGTGACAAACTCCAACCAACCACGATGAAACAAATGCTGTAGTTTATTGCCAGCCTCTGCACGACCAAGGTGAGCGTGAGCAGGAGGCAAAGGATGGCAGGATGCTTTGGCCTGCCTGTGATGACAGTCATCCAGACCTCATTAGGACAGTCTCATTCCATGTGACCCTCCGGGAACCGATACCGCACATTTTGATAGCAGTCTGATTCCAAGTAAATGCTGGGCCAATATTACCAGTACCGATACTTTAAACCTAGAAAGGCAGCTTATGTAGGGGGGAGCAGTGTGTCATGATTTATTAGATTAATCATCGTGAATTTGCAAAATCTGAACACATTTAATTGAAAATTAAATCTTTATCACTTAGGTTTTCCAGAAAAATGAATACATCAAAACACACCTTTTGAGCTTTTTATTTATCTTGAAACTGGAATGTAAATGTGCCGCTATCTCTAAAGCACTTTGGGTCAACCTCTGTTGTTTATGTGCTATAGACCATAGATAAAATAGACGTGACAGTCAACACAAAAGGACATTTTTCATAGTGCCTTTCAGGAGTATCTGAACAGCTGAGACACATTTTTTCTAAACACCGCATTCCTCTGGCTTTTAAACCCCAAAACACGCGGCGCCAAAAACTGGTCCACCCCAAGGATTGAGTGGACCAGTTTTTGGCAGAGTAATATAGTGTACGCTGTTAAGTGCCAGGAGGATTGCCATGATTTCTACATCGAGAAAACCAAACAACCTCTGGCGAAGTAGATGGACGATGGAGAAGAGCTAACTGGTCAGGCCAGGACTCTGCAATCACACCAAACCAGTGGACACTCCTTCACTGATGAGGATGTACACATGCTGGACAGGGAGGAACACTGGTCTGAATTGAGGAGATCTTTCACCATCTTTGCAGCCATTCCCCAACTCTCTGTGAATGGTACTTAAGGCCACCGATCATTGGGCTTTGGTCAATGATCAGTAGTTGATGATCAATAGTCATGTCAATTGGCATATTAATGATCCAAAAACTGACCTCACAGCCCTACTCTTTATAACGTTGGGGAAACCTGGAGTCAGCCGAGACTGAAGAAGTCACTTGGATGAGTGACAAAATGCTTCTCCCACTGAAAACTGAGCATAGAGGCTAGAAACACAACACTGATCCTATCACGCTAATATCGATCCAATACCAGTACCAGTATTGGCACTGATATTATTTTTGGCTCGATCCACCCACCTCGAATGAGAACAACTGCTGGCTGAGCAGTTGAGATCCTAAAAGCTAAGCTCTTTAAACTGAATCACTCTCATGACAAAAATTAGGAAAGGCTTTTTTTATGACAGCTGTCTGCTTAATCTGGTATTTGTCTTTGTTTATGTTAATGACACAGCTCCCAGTGGCTGAATGATTGTGTTCTCAGCCTTGAAATAAACTCACAGCGAAGCCGCCACGAATGCTTCCACCATGTTTGCGCTCATTGCGGTTTTCATAATAACGGCTTCTCCCATATTAAGTTCTCCGCTGGACCGCTAACCAGATGCTAATAGCTCACTCTGTAGAGTGTTGATTGACTATTATCTCGCCGGCTTTCATGGCTCATGTGAAGAGAGCTGCAGTTTATGGATGAGTCTGAGAAGCCAGGCGTCTCAAGTGTTTCTACAGTCACATTCCTGCATAATTGCTGCACATAGCCGTGTTGGGAAAGAGTCATGATACACAGAGAGACATGCCATGGCACGAACACACACACACTGTGTTATTGGTATCCCTGCTGAGCTTCGTTAGTCACATCCTGCACATGGTGACGTGTCCAGATGCTCTTTACTGGAATGTCAGAGAATGTTGTAATACTGCAATGAATCAGTACTCAAAAAAAAGAAAAGTAGAACTTAAAACTGGAGAGTCTTTTTTTTTTTTTTTGTCAGGGGGTCTTTTGCAAAGCAGATTATACAGATTGTTATTTGTGGCTCTGAGTTGGTGTGTGCAGAACCAACTTAAAATAAATGACATTCATCATAATAAAGCAGCTTGTCACTGAGCACACAGGGAGTCCTCCACAGATGGTTTTAATCATTTGAAGTAGAGTTCAAAAGCAGTAAAAGCACTAAGTCAGACTGTCCATACACACAAAATGAAAATTCAGTGTGTTTTCATGTTGACAATAAGAAAAGAGATATAGTAGAAATCACTGGCTGCAAATCATGGAGCATATATATATATATATATATATA